TGACGTTGGGATTTAGCAGTTGGTCGTAGATGACTTGCCACGTCTTGTATGGGGCGCACCACCCATTGTCTTTACGCGCAATGCCGTTAAGTCCGCAGTCGAGGTAATGAGCTTCTTGAAAGGACGCAATATACGAATAGCCAGCGTCCGTGAACCGCTTCGGTTCGTTCAACTCGAGCATGTTCCACGACTGGATCGATACTTTGTCGGGCGGGAGCGACGCAATGTAACTGGACGTGGTCAAATCACTGGACCACAGCGTGATGCGCTTGGCTGGGTCCCGCGCCCACAGTTTGTTTTGCACGCGTTCTTGAAACGTAGCCCAAATCTCAATGTACTCGGCGTGGTTGGTTTTATTGCGTACTTTGTCGGCAAACACGGGCGAGTCGATCCAGCACTCGAAAAATACTTCGTCCCCCCCCAAGTGAAAAACATCCGAGTCAAACATTGCCCCAATCTCGGTCCACACGAGATCCAGGAGGTCGTACACGTACTCGTTGAACGGGTTGAGCTGGCCACACGGCGCTTCCAAGCAGTGCGCCATCCACGGGTTGTTGGCCCAGCAAAGCGCCAGTTCGCCCATGTTGTAGTCGGGGCCCCACTGCCACCCGGCGCCGACGTGCGCGGGCGCATCGATTTCAGGAATCACCTTGACGCCGTGGACCTTGGCATATGCGACGAGCGCGGCAACCTGCACCTGTGTGTACGCCATGTTGCTCTGGTACAATCCATACTGGTTGAACCGATGGTCGGCTTTGATTTCGAGTGGGAACGACGACGAGTCAGTCAGGTGTAGGTGCAGCACGTTTAGCTTATGCATGCCCATGGTGCGAATCAGCCGATGCATGAGCTGGACCGGAATGAAGTTGCGCGCCGTGTCCAGCATGATCCCGCGGTGTTTGTACGCCGGTTTGTCGACGATAGTGACCGCGCTGACCATCCGGAAACTCTGTGACAGGTCGCACCAGTCGACCAATTGCAGCAAACTCGCCAGCGCGTGGCGGTACCCGTAGATAGTGTTAGCTAGAATCGTCACAGTGGTTGATGCAATGGCGAGGTCGTACGACTCGTCCGTGTCCAACGTCAACTTGACGCTCGATGATTGGATGGATGCGACGACCTTGACACTGCGGCCAGCCGTGGCCACCCCGCCAAGCGCCAACTGCTTCTTCTTGACCAGTTCAGTGGCAAAGGCGGATTGCATGGCTCGGAGCAGGTCGCTGTTGTCGACCCTGCCTGTGACAGAGTGCGAGAACGACTCGACGTCCACAGCGACCGTATCTGGCGTCGTGAGCTTGAACGACTGGGGCAGTGGCAGCATCGATCCGTTGCCACAGGTCATTTCGCATACTCGCAAGCTCAAAACTCCAGGGCCAGTGACAGTCGAAGCTTTTGCTCGTTCGTCTTTGGTCAGGTTGAGCTGGACGCATTGGTGGTTGTTGGTGCACATGTACTTGAACGCAGCTAGCGGCACCAACACCTCTGTGCCGAGTAGCAACGCTGGGTCGCCGCTACTATCCAATGACGACAAACGCAAGCTTGACTTGGTCACTGCAAACGTAAGAACGGATGAGGCGGCAGCGACTACAACCAGTATGGCCACTCCGAAAATGATGGCCTTCTTGGTTGGAGTCTACGCACGAGCATGTCATTATGCGAAGAGTACCACAGAGACAGTAGACGACATACCTTTCGTTGTTTGGTTTCCTCTGTCACAGGACGGTTGCACGTGATTATGGGAGTGTCAATTACGGCTGTCCACGACACGGTTTCGCCGGCGGCGGTGTCCATCAGTGGGCAATTGTCCGGCACGGTTGCGCCGGCGGCGGTGTCCATCAGCGGTCCATTGTCCAGCACGGTTTCGCCGGCGGCGGTGTCGATCAGCGGGCCATTGTCCGGCGACTTCATCGTTTGAGAAATGCTAAAAACTTTACAGTACAAACACTGGCGGGCAAATGTTACACGGTCAGGGTTTTATTGATTTAGCGTATTCATAGCGTGTGATTGCTCGCTAATGCAATCAGACTCATTCAACTTTATTACCAGTCCATTCGTGCCCTTGGAAGTTGGGATCAAGGAATTTGGAAGTTGGGATCAAGGAATTTGGAAGTTGGGATCAAGGAATATCTTGAAAGGAAGAGCAAACCTTTTCGTGGCACCCTACCGAAGCATCATTGGGATGATGTTCATGGCTTGGATAGGCGCCGATATTTCAAGTTGCCTGTGACATGTGTTTCCCACGTAGTTTAACGTAAATACGACTTGCGTTTAATTATTCTTCGAAATAACGTTACATTCATTAACTCCACGAAAGTTGTAACTGGATTAAAGTGTGCCACGACGTTTACCCTCTGTAGGAGTACTATGGCTTGCCAGCACCCACACCCCGACACACCAGGTTGGTGGGGGTGTTGATTATTAGCATAACTTGAGTTATACTACGTAGTATAATTTTGAATTGGAGATAACGTTATACTGTACATATTAATATTAGGTTTGAATAATTATTCCGTTTTGTACTCCTTAGCAGACGTGGGGAAATTTCCCCACCGATGAACGAACCATCAACACTTTACTTGATTCTGATTGGCTAGTCTGAAAAATACAATGCTATCATTGGCTGGAGTTGTTACAAAATCAAAATTTCACGGCCATGACTTCGGCAGAAGGAACACGCGCTTCGAGTTCACGGTGAAGAACCCCGAGAAATGAAGCGCGGTGGGTGAGAATCATGCATAGAGTACCAATGCGTCACTTAACGGTACTATTCCAGGGGCTTCAAGCGGTTGTATATGCAGTAAGGAGCCATATTTCTAAATTTTCTCCGACAAAATATGTCGGAGCTGTCTCAGAGTGAGCCCAATATTGCAAGAAACATGCACTATTGGCCTAAAATATCGGTAAAGCTTGATTGGCTAAAAAGCTGAGCTACCAAAATAAAATTCATGTATTGGTCAAAATGGTACATACAAACGCGAAGTAGTGTCGGAGTAACTGTCATATTCATCCATACTAGTATATACTTCAAAGGTAGAGAGCATTGAAGTAAACAGTAAAAAGCGGATGAACTCTACGTTTTTAATACTTACAGTTAACTCAAGTATAAAAGTCGGCTCGCCTGTGTAAAGCGTTAATTTCAAACATTCATCATGCAATCATAAACCGTTTAAATCGATACGCCCACTGCCACAAAAATGTCAGAAAACATCTCTTTTTGTAACTTTTCAGAATATTATGACACTTTTCCAAACGACATGTGTTTGGCTACCAAATCTGACATATATATAGTGACATAATCCATCGAATTTTTACTGTTTTCTGACAGAAAAAAGTTTGAACTGATCGAATTTTTACTGTTTTCTGACAGAAAAAAGTTTGAACTGATCGAATTTTTACTGTTTTCTGACAGAAAAATGTTTGAACTGAAATTGTCCAATTTTTCTATCGATAGCTCTCAGTCCATCATGGTATCCAGAGGTCACATCAAAACATTTCGAAAATATTTTCTCACCTCCCATTTGAAAAGGGAATTCTCTGTCAGAATATTATTTGACCTATTTTTTCTATTTTACTCGGCCTAAGGCCAGGTCTGGATGCCACGAATGGCATAAAATGGCCGTTTTTCCAAGAAATTTGCCAAAATCGAAATATTCCATTTTTCGAGAATTTGCCACCAAAATTCAAAAAAATATGCTACCATTTTCTTGAGATACGGGTGTTTTAAGGCATAAAAAAATGGATCGACTTATTTATAGAAGTGTTCACGTTGAAGTCTTGTGCTTCAAACGGAAATCGAATACTCCGTATAGTGTACTGGGGAGTAATTTGTACTACCTCTGTCCGAAAATGTTTGCACGTTTCGGAAAAAGTGAAGTTCGAGGAAGATTGCACGATTCGTACCACTCCTGTTTGAATGGGGAACAATATAAAAAAGTCACTCAGCTCAATATAAAAATACATATAATATTTATTCAATGTCTAAACCCAAGATTTCCAATAACGTTAAGGTTGGGCTTGGCGCGCATTGTCAAATTCGTGTCAAAGTGTACGGATAGTACGGAATTATCGTAACCGGATGTCCGGATACGCTGAAATGAACTGTGTCGTCCATGTTGTATGAAATAAAGTATTCGGGTTTGTTTCCGTCACAGCTCTTTCATTGGTTGGACTTTTGGTGCGAATAATTTTGATTGGTGATGCCCTGAATCTCCTCTATTCCCCAGTACCTTCTGTTCTCCAAGAATCGAACAACTTCAAGTTCATTTGTCGAAATCTTTGATTCGTGCAAACATTTTTGGACACTGTAGTAGCTGGGGTCAACAACGCGTCGACTGCAACGGAACTCATCATGAGTCGCCCAGTCATGGAGTTACTGGGCTACAGCGTTGAAGACCTCCCTTGTTGGAGCAAGGAAGAAACAGGAAGAATGGGACGTTTCGTCCGTGTCGATGAACCAACTGTCCTGCATTGCGAATGTCAAGCGCCTGATGGCGGAGAAGTTGCCTGATGGCGGAGAAGTTGAATCCACCGGAGGCATCCGATATGAGACATTGGGAAATTTTTGCAGGCTTTCCAAAACGGTTTATGCCATAATTTTATGGGGTGGCTGGCATCCAGACCAGGCATACAAAGTCAAAAATGTATCACCAATTCTATAAAGTACAAGTTCACAAAATACAAAGTCAAAAATGTATCACCAATTCAATGTCGTTACGTTATAATTTCAAATACTGCATCAATGTAGGTAGGTCAGTTTTGATCTTGTACGATTAAAAGGGATAGTTGAGCTGATCGCGACTTGGTATTAATAGGTACAGTAGCCGAGAGCATTTCCGACCCGATCTACCAGTGCTTCTACCTGGTACTGTATGCGGGGTGTACTGTCAATCTAACTACTAGTTATCTATTGAAACGGCTAAAAACCTAGCGCAGCTAGATGTTGTGAGGTAGTAACTGCCACGACACAACCCTTGCTATCCTGGCAATGATATTCGAAGCTAACGACCGACGAAGACTGCCAGCTTGTCCGGTCATGGATCAACATCTCTCAAGATGTGTCCAAGGGTAGTACTCATCACGCATCACCACACCGTCCATGATTCGTTCAAACAGCGGTCTGGCCATTCGAAATTGATGGCGAAACTTGGCTTCGCCGTAGATTGGATTTGGGTCAAAGTAGTAGGTAAATCCGAGCATGCGCAGCCTCGCTATCTCGTGGTAGGTCTGGCTGGCGGTTGGCAATATAGCCTTTAGGGCGCGCAGAAGACTGATGAAAGCCAAGAAACTCCCAAGCTTGATCCATGTCATCATCGTCGTCCTCCCACGCCATCGCGCCAGGTTCATTTCCGGATAATAACATTATTCGGATGTTTTACAGTTTTACCCGGGTTGACAAAAATCAAAATACAGGAACTGTAAAACGGTATTTTACAGTCTGATTATACAGTCGCACCGGTGGGGATGCCCTAAATGTGCCGAATACGGTACTTCCGACATCTACGAAGACAAGATGGCCCAACGTCGTGTTGTAGAAAGCCGCGAGCCCCCTTCTTGCAACCTGCCGACGCCGCCACCTCCACGTGCTGGCCCTCCTATTGTCCGTACCGACGCTGGATGTGAATACGCTTCAAAAGGTTTGCAAATCCAAGCAAAAATAACATCTTGAACATTGTCATGTGATGACAACAGAGACCCGAATTTGCATTGACGATTGCAGCCGACCAACAGTGGCTAGAAGGCGTGCAGTTGCTCATGGCACGCCCCGATCTGCACGTGAACGTTCAAAATCCAGTAACAACAAAGATCTATATATATATATATATATATATATATTATTTCCATCGCGCTTTTCATGTGTGTGGGTGGTGCTTAGGAAGGGCGGACAGCACTATCGATTGCCGCGGGGGCCAATAACGTTCCGATGATGGAGGCATTGTTAGCCCAACCAGACATCCTCGTCAACACGATCGATTCCGTACGACCGTTTCGATATATATATATATTATATTTTTCGTTATCCATAGGTTAGTACACTTAATTCTAATATTTGAACCATTTCCCTCTAGGCGGGGCGCACGGCGCTGCATTTTGCAGCCACGACGGGCCACTACCAACCCGTGACTTTGCTTTTGAACCGCCAAGACTTATGGGTTTATAATTTTATCATTTTTTGTATATGTGGACAACATGTCATGAAAAATAATCTTATATCAATATGCCGTAGATGAAAAATACCGCGTTGGTCCTTGCAGTCCAGAGTAACGACGTGGCGTCCGTGGACGCATTCCTCTTGCGTCCAAGCTTGAATGCGGTCGTGGTCGATATGGTATGAACTAGTTGCTCCGAAACGAGCTGCGAAATGTGAGGAATCACATAGTTTGGCATGACCCCACTCATGTGGGCTATCCGCGAACGCTATACGTCTATCGTCACCCGCCTCTTGTCCTGCGCTGCTGTGGTGGACAACATCAATCTCAAGTCAAAGGTAAACACATCAATAATAACTTCTACTCCATCTGTATTCATGAAGAAGGTTAACCTTAGGAAGAGAACACGGCACTGATGATTGCGTGCAGGAGAGGCAATGTCGACGCCGTCAACTTGGTGCTTGCGCTACCTACCGTGGACGTGCACCTTCAAGGCAGAGTACGTGAGGTTTTGTATCCCCATTTACTACAGTGTAGGATATTGTGCTTTTTGCCAAAATTTGGATATTTGTGCTAGTTCTCGGTCGAGTTTTCGTCACTTTTACTGAATTTTGCATGTGAAGTAGTTTGTGAAGGCATTCGATGGTTGCACAGGAGTTTGATTGGCCGCTTGAAATTGTTCTAGATTTTGATTGGTCAATCATTTGTCTGTCGATTTGGTTATACAGGCAGTATATGCTCACTCGATTGAGCACCCCACCATTCCAAATTCGAATAGTATCCACTTGACAATATGTATATATGTGTGTACTGTATCGATAACGTCACCTCTCCCTCTCCTAGAAGGGGTGCACGGCGTTGGGGCTTGCCGCGATGCACGGGCGCACAGACATCGTCCACGCCCTGCTTGGCTATCCCGACATTGCCCTCAGCATGAATGCCGTGTCGCCAGTTCGTGACTTCACTCTTTCGCTATAAACTCTAACTAGATGTTAGGGCGGCTCCACTCCCTTGTTCAATGCATGTAAAAATGGCCACCAAGACATTGCAAAGCTCTTCCTAGCGCATCCAAGCATCAACCTCCACGCCGATGTAGCGCCAATTATTCGTTTGGCTGGTTAGCCCCCAAAGTCTTATATATTTATGCCCTGATAGGTCGACCAGTCGCCGTTGTACATTGCGGCTAGCCAAGGACGCACGCAAATTGTGGAGCTACTTCTACAACGGGCGTGCTACCCAGTCAACCAACCGTCCAGAGTATACTGCAATACTGTACGTACAGAATAAGTTGTGGCTCAAGGGAGTTGGGCGTAGAACTACGCCTACACAGCATTACATGGTGCGGCGAGGGGCGGGTACATCAATGTGGTCAAGTTACTGCTGGACCAACCTGGCATCGATATCAACTTCCTCAATGACGTACGGCTATAATTCCATTGCAAATATATATATACTTATATTATATGCATGTGTTGCAGGACGGCCAAACGGCCTTTCACGAAGCCGCCAAGGAAGGCCACGACGGTATTATCGAGTTGTTCCTTCAGCATCCACAGTTGCATTCGATCAACTTGCAAGACGTGGTCGGTACAAGTATCGGAGAACGTTAGCAATTTTATTATTATTATAACTTACACTCATATATATATATATATCCGTTGCTTTCACGTTTGGCATGTTCATGTAGAACCAATGCACGGCATTGCGGCTAGCTTGTCATGGCGGAAATTCCAGTGTCGTGATGATCCTCTTGAAGCGCAACGACATTGACGTCAACTTGCCCTGCAGCGTATGATATTTTTGTCGGCTGGGTGTAGTAATTATCAATTTATAGGGTGGCAACTCGCCGCTCATGGCTGCAGTCATGGTCGATGATGTCGACAGTGTATCTAGTTTGGTGCGGCATCCCCACATTCAAGTGAACCATCGCAACTATGTACGTATGGCGATACGTGTACATGTATTATATTCGGGGTTTGTGCAAACATAAACCCCGAAACCCCGAATGCCGATGTTTGTAGAGATATAGAGATGTTGTATTTCTCGTGTGTGTGTATGATTAGCAACAAGACACGGCATTGCTATTGGGGGCAAGTTCGGCCATCAACGTATTGCTAGAGCACTTGCTCAGCCACCCTGACATTGACAAGACGGTTCAAAATGTGGGGGTTAATGGCGAGAACAGCTACAAGATCCCTCGGAGCGATGTGACTGAGGATGACGCGATTGCATTGGAATTGATGGATACGCTCCTGGAAGCAGAGGATCGCATGAGCCATGCCTGTGACCTGATGCAGGTCATGGTAGTAGTGAAAGGGGAGGGTTCTGACTCGACCCTAACTAGGCTTCCTGGTGATTCGTAAAACCGATCACATATCCGCTGCGATATTTTGATTGGGTAAAACCGATCACATATATTAATATCCCGCCGCGATATTTTGATTGGGCTTTCCCATTCCGCAGAAAGCACGAAGAAAAGGGTCAAACAATCTAGCCAATCCGCAAAGAGTAATTTCAGAATGACCAATGGGAGCATTGCGCGATCGGTTTGGACGACGTGATTCGATGGGACGGGGTCCGGAAATTCACACCGAATCAATATTAACGTGGACCCGTAAAACAAGTTAAAACAAGTCATAATCACGGATGGCTAATCCAACTTCTGATTGGTTGTCCATTCTGTAAGAGCCAATTAGATCCACTCAAAAATGGATTAGCCAATAGCGTCGATTCGTGATTCGACGGAAACTTGTACCGAATTTGTGCCGACGACAATTCATTTGATTAACCAAATAGTACTACTCTCAATTCAACGGTTCTTTCAAGTCTGTCAAGTAGGCCACGACGGCATGCAAAGCGCTGGCACCGCGGGAGGCGACTTTCGCTTTCCAGTGGGGGTCGTCGTGCAGGTAAAATACATCGCGCACGTGCGCCGCGGCGGCCAGGCGAGCGGTGGGATCGTACTGGAAGAGCGCGTTCTCGAGTCTCAGCGCGCGGAGCACCGAGATGCCGTCGACGGTGCCGAATTCTTGCGTAAGGGTGAGGACATGTGTGTCCTTTGGGAACCACGTCGCAGCGTACCCGTCGACCCCGTAGCCTGCGACACTGTCGTATCCGGAAAACGCTTCTTCGGCGTTGGCTACGTTTTGGCCAGGAAAGATGCGGCGGCCGACGGTGGGGTGGTTGAACATGAGCGAGTCGTCGCCGCGAGACCCCAGTCCCGTGTGCACGTCGATCAGTACGACGTTTTCGACGTCATCCAAGGCTAGACCATGCTGCGACGAGGTGAAGAAGTCGCCAAGCAGCACATGGCTCGGCTCGAGCTCTGAGCCACCGTAGAACAACCCGCGCGGGTCATGGTACGTACCCGCCACGACCGCGCGCTTGCCGGCGGCGTACCCGTAGCGCAGGACGTGTGCCGCCAACTTCGTCCAGAATGACACATCGTCGGCCACCACGGGGTTTAGAATCGGCGCAATGTCCACGTACCCGACGTGGTTGGGGTCGCGCGCGCGCACGGCGTCGAATTCCGCCGGCGTCAGGTGGTTTCGGTTCAAGTCCACATTGTGTTCGTTGTACCGTCGTAGCTACGATTAGGCTTAGACAGTGGAGAGAGTAGATGGAGAAACGAGGGAAAGGTACCTTGGCAAACCCGTACGGGTTGACAGCATGCACAAACACAAGGGTAGGCGCTTGGGCATGACGACGTGCCGTGAGGGTCGTCTTGTTGGAAAGGTACGCCGATTGAATGGCACTACCCGCAAACCCCTCCACGCCATGCGTGCCAGACAGATGAACCACCAATGATGTCGGCGACCCTCGTAAGATCGCGACGTCGATGCTCAAGTCGGACATACCATCCACTGGGTACGGAATCACATGCAGGTTAGCGTTGGCGGATCGAGCGGCCTCTCGGAACAAGTGGCGGGCTTGGTAGTAGTCTTCTGAGAAGAAGCGCTCGTAAGGCGAGATGGTGCGCAGGGGTGCCGTGTACGCCTTGTACGCCGAGTGCACGACGATGGCAATCACTAGCGCCACGACTGTCGTGATACCGCCCATCGTGGAAAAGTGAAGTTCGTATCCACGTTAAAATTTCGCAAAAAGAGACGAAAACGTTTTGAGTGGAATTATGAAATATTTTGATTCTTTTGAAAAAACCAAAATATTGAACTCTACGGCAAACCTGTTCAATTCTATTTTGTTGATCGCACCATATTTCACAGGTTAAGGTCGACCTGCTTTACTCGATTTGCCGGCACCAGTGACACATCGCCGCGATGACCGCCCCTACGTATGTCCATACAGATCGCCTTAATGACGCATGACCTAGCAATTTTGTAGGACTGACGCAGATGTGATGCCGATGTTCTTCTTGAACCCTGAAGGACCTTCCGTTGGCGATAAGAAAGACGATGGCGCGAGCAATAGTCCCACCAAGTCGTCGTATGCCAACCTGCCCCGACAAAACTACCAGAACCCATGGGAATCGAATGGTTTGGACCGTCAATACCAGTCCCTTCGCAAGCGTGCGGGTGGTGCCGATGCTTTGTCGGCGTCCACGGCTTCCAGCGACGACTCGACTTCATCCATCCCCACGGTAGGGACTCCAGGATGCCCTAATGCTCCCCCAACACGTTGTTCCATGTCGTACATGTATCATCTATCTGTGTTTAGAACTCGCTGTTTGCTTCGTTGTCGTCCAAACTGGACACACGACCGCCTTCCTCGTCGTCGTCGTCCACGGCCGCCGCCGCAGCGCCATCGTCGTTTCTGTTTCCGAGCTTGCAAGCCCAAGAATGGGGCCACGACCAACTGTACTGGATCACCGTGTTTGGCTTTCCACTGCAAGACATGGACGTGGTTCTGTCATACTTTCAAACTGTCGGCGACGTACGACCACTACTCGTTTTTTCCATACCTCTCCCTCCCTCATGTCCCCATCCATCTAGGTGGCGCAATACCGCCACGGCCGCGGCAACTGGCTCTATCTCCGATACCAAACCCGTCTGCAAGCCGAACGTGCGCTCTTCGAGTCCGGATCTACCCTCGGCGGTCGCGTCATGATCGGCGTCAAGCGATGTCTGGCGTGGGAGATGGACGCCGATGCGCCCGTGGTTAACGTCACCGACGCGGCATCAGCGCACGCTCCGGCCATGCTGTCGCGGGACCTGCAAGTCAACCCCACCGACGTCGACGTGATGGAGTCCCCTCGTCGCCACGACGACATTTGCTCGAGGTTTCTCCGCTTTCTCTTCAACATATAAGTCCATGAACAACAGCAACAATACACGTAACTACACTATCTCGTCGTTGGCGTGCATCTATCTAATGGTCTCCATAACGGTAACTACTCGGATGCTGTAAGTTACTAATCGAATTTTGAGTGACTTGATTGACCAATCAAAACCCACAACTCGAATTAAGTGGCCAATCAAACGCTTAGACCGACAATCGATTCACCAATCAAAACCGACAACTTTGAATCAAGTGGCCAATCAAACGCTTGCAAGTCTCAATCGTGCAGTGTGTGATGTGCTTTTTTCAAATACTTCAAATAGTGTGCATGGCGTCGCCCACGCCATATACAAAATGCAGTACAAACGATCGACCGATGGATTATGATGCTTTTCAGTAAGTATTATCAATCAAATTTGCCTACTTTAGGGGATTTACAATCAAATTTGCCTACCACTTTGGGGGATTGATGAAATCGCCAACTAATCGCAAAGGAGTATGATTGGCTACAAACAATGAACGTTGTAACTTGATTGGCTAAACAGATTGATTGTAGTATTGCACGCGCAAAGATACCTCTTCAACTTCATTTTACATGAAATTTCGAAGGTGTTGTGTTGCTTGCTATACAACTAGTACGTCGTCGTCCTTCGTTTCGTCGTCGTCATCATGCCGACGGCCACGTGCCGATGCTGGTTCCAGCGGTCGCCAGACATCGTCGCCGTCAAGCAGCGGCTGGGTCTTGGACATGTGGAGCATCCGCCGCACTTGGTCATGGCGGTCGATGGAGCGTTTAAGCAGGCGGTGGGGGATGCCGCTCCATCCGGAAAGGGTCGTGGTGGTGCTGCTGTCTTTGGTCGAGTAGTTGTACGTGTCGGGGTCGTCGTCGAGGCCGTCGCCGCGACTGAGCCGCCAGCACCGCGCGCAGTGGTCCTCCTCGAGCTCCCGTCGGGTGATCAGCCCCTTGACGTTCATGTGGCGGTTCACAACCACCAAATGTCTCAACCCGGACGACCGAAAGAGCCGATATGCGCGGGTAAACGGCGCTTCTTCCTGGATCACAAACGGGGTTTGGTTCATGTATGGCGTCAGGTCCACCCACAGGTCGCGTTCTCTAGCATACATTGTCCACACAATTATGTACAGATCAATTGAAGCCCATGACGCGTGACGTGGCAGTCTCTCGACCCCCCAAATGACGTGGTTACATCAATCACATTGAAAGTCCAAATATAGTAGGCGCCCAAGAATTGAGCCAATCAGGTTGCACCAAAGCATCAGTTCAACCAATCAACAACGATTTCGCGTGTGACTAAAATTAGTGTGATCGGCATCGCCACTGGACATGTGTTTACATTTAAAACGCAATACCTTAAAGTACAACAACTCGATCGATAGATTAAAATTAAAAATCAATTATACAAATCCATATCATTTTTTATAAAAATGGACATACACGTTTTCAGTTTTTTATGGAGGATAAGAATTCAATATTTTTGTATCTTGATACTAAAAATTAAAAATATGGAGAAATATATATATATATATATATATATATATATATATATATATATATCATCAAATATATAAAACGCCCAATCATCTCCACCAACTTGGGACTTCCAAGCAAGCAAGTCACCATTGTAGCCATCACCATATACCACCATGTCAACCGTGTACTGTCTGTCAAGCCACGTACGCGTCCGACAGCGTGTAGCCGACGTCTGGCTCGGGGTAATTGGGGTACGCCGCCTCCATGTCTTGGTAGCTGAGACAGGTCGCGGCGGCGTCCCCTGCGACATCGTTTGGTTCTTGGGGCGGATGTCTCGAGAACGGCCGCGGCTTCAAACTCGCAAAGTCTTTTTGAGCCAGTAGCACCGTCAGTTGTTTGCGCAGGATGATTCCGGCAAAGAACTTTGGGCCGAACGTCGGGTCGTCCACGACGACGGGGAACCCGTTGTGCGTGGTGAGGCTCAGGTAGTCCCATATCAGGCCTAGGATCACGTTATCATGATGACGTGATCATCATGATTGCGTCATCACGTACCCGCGCGCTCGACCGTGCGGACGCTCTTGGGGTGCCGTGTCATGACGTGCTTGACGCGCATGCGCGAGCCTTCCACGGGGGGATCCCAGTCCAGAAACGGCAGCTGGCGCAAATGGATGTGGATGTCGTAAATGCCATGATTAAAGTAGTTGCCCACCCATCGCGCAGAGAACAACGTTACGATCAACGGCAGCCCGTACTCGACATTGCCTAAAACAAACATGTCCTTAACGGCCACCAAGGTAGTATTGTCTGAAATTGGAGTGTTTGGGTGCTCAATCGAAAAACTAGAAGAACCAAAAAATCGGCACACAATCGATATACCACCAATCAAAACCCACAACACTCATCAAGTGGCCAATCAGATTCACTCTTCAATTCATCGAATCAGTGTGTGGCTGAAATTAGTGTGATACTATGGACGATCTTTAAATGAGTGTAAGTCAGCACAAAGAACCGATCGATAGATTTGGCAAAGAATCCGCCCACAAAAGTCAACCAAATTTTGGGTAAAAGAAAAACGACAATAGTACTGTCACAAGCTACTGTACAAATAAGTACTAGTAGTGTACGGTTGTGTGTGTGATGATGCTAAACTACTGGAGCGAATGAACGAATAAATCCAACACAACCAATCAATGTCCAGAGAATCGGCAGACGAATTCAGAGCCAATCCATCAACAACTATATCATTTGTGACTTGAATTAGTGTAATGACAAGCATGGGACCAGTAAATAGTACTACTAGTAGTATGTAGTAGTCATCGTGGATGATGTTATTGTTGGGGGATTATATTCTAAACTGGAGCGACATACAGAATGATGAATCGGTACAACTAAATGTAACTACAGAAGAATCATCGGCAGAAGAATGGAGCCAATCAGATTGCACGAAACTATCAACAACAATATCAAATTCGTGTATGACTTTAATTAGTGTGATACCAATCGCCACAGGACACGTGTTTATACATACAAAGTTCAGTACAACGAATCGATCGATACATTTGGCGAATCAGCACATTTTGGGTAAAAGTAGGCAATATTCCGGCTAGAGTTGGGCGTACCTGTACACTCCAACAAGATCACAGTCAACGAGATGGTCATCCGCGTGATGCCGCCGAGCATCGCGGCCGACCCGATCAGTCCATAGATGCGCGCGTCCGTCGTCTTGGCGTGCGGCATGTGCAGCGTCACGTGGTTGATCAGCCGCGTCCAGAGGCGGCCGTAGGCGGCTCCCACGAGGAGCGCCGGGATGAACAGCCCGCTCGGCACCTTGAGGCCGTACGTCCAGCATGCTAGGCACGTGGTCGCGAGCCAAAACACTAGTCAAAACAACCCAAACATTCGTTATATATATATATATATATATTGAAAATACAGAATGCAATAAAAGCAATTCATTCTTTAAATATAATACAAACATCAACATAAAAAGAGACTATTTCTTGATGGAAAATAATATATTGAGTATACATTAGCTTTAAATATAAGTAACATCTATATTTGAAATAAACATAGAATACGAAGCTACTAACTACTCCATCATAAAGTGATGTCAACCCCCCCTCCGACCATCATTCATCCCCCCGACCATCATTCATGCCCCATATGTGGCCACGGTGTCACATGTCCAATGAAGCAACAATACACGGTGTCACATGCAAAAAAACATAAGGACATTAGACTGTACGAACCGACGAGGTTGTACATGTCGAACGTTTCGGGGGGGGCATGGAAAAGGTGCCGGATCGCCGACTCCCCCGGGGATAGCAGCAGCGTCGCCAGGTCATTGTATTCCCCCCGTGGACAGTAAAATCGGACCATCTCGTCCCGATACGGGTACGCGTCCTCGTCCTCCTTGGTGCTGCCGCCAACGGAGGCAACGGGTTTCAGAGGCGGCAGCGGATGGCACGACCCCCATGTGGCACTGAGCCAGAACGCTACGGTGGTGACGGCCACGGCCAACACGACAGCCTCCAGCACCATAACGCCCTTGGTTTGAATCCACCGGCCGCGAAATCTATTAACAAATATATATAAATATATATAATATTAAAGGGTCATTGGGGCTGCCACGAAATAAAAAAAATGTAAAAAAAATCGTTTTTTCGCAACTTTTTTGTGGGGAAAATCTATAACTTTCTTATAATCTAATTTCAGTCGTCATTACTCACGGATTTCAACAAGCTCAAGACCACGTGTGTCATCAACGTGCAGCTATTGGGAGGTGGGAAGGGGGTTGGATATCAATACATTGATATAATGTGCCAGTCTACTGTGTTTACAATCAGAAACAAGTTATTTCTACTGTCCAATGTTGGTTATTTATTACTATATATGATAATACTCCAGTGATATTGTACAGAGCAGGTTTATATCATGGGCACACCAATATATATTGTACAAAGATATTGTATTTTTCTCACCCTCCCGTTTGAAACGAGAATTGATATATCTGCCAGAATCAACTTTTTTCCCTGTGGCATCCACACTATGATATTTCTATTTTGAAACTATATCCAAATATTGTGGATTCGGTACAGATTTCCAGACCCCGTCACGAATCGACGCTAATATCCAATATTTTGAGTGGGTTTGAAGGGCTCTTTCAGGAAAAACAAATATATTCAACCAATCAGAACTCCAGCGCGATGTCATATTGATTCGACAAATCACTCGAATTTTGGAGGTTTATAGCGAATATTCACAATACTCGCACTATATCCAATCGAAAGCCAGTCAGCCATCCATGCATACAATAAACAAATAAACGAAGAAAACTTACAGGTCATACCAACCACACATAAACCAAATCAACCCCAACCAGAAAGATTTCTTTATTTTACTCTACTCCCATCTCGACACGAATCACATAACCACCACACACACCCACATACTCAACCCTATAATATATTTTGTGCAGTACCGCGAGAGCCGCAGGTTGACGGCATTGAACAGCGCGCCTTGGACACCGCCGCCGGCGCCCATACAGATGAAGATCGGGATCTCCCACACCTGGTACGTCGACAGCGTAAACGGGCCAAGAGTGAACGTCCCTGCCTGGCCGCCCAGCGTGCCCCAGCTGGCCGCCATGCCTGAAATGAAAAACGCCAGAGTGAACGTCGATACCATCGCACAAAACAGCGTGCGCCACGTCAGCGACTGGTTCCAGAAGGATGCGCCTTCCTCCAGCACGAAGAGGACGCCGCCGATGGGGGCGCCGAACGCCGCCGCGACCCCCGCCGCCGCCCCGCACGACAAAAAGTCGCGCTTCTCGTGGTCGTTGCGAAACCCGGCAAAGTATGTAAAGCTACACACGGGGTACGATCATATGATGTTTTCACAAAGAATCTGAACGACGAAAACAAATGCCAAGTATATTGTACTGTGTTGTGGCGTGGTTTCTCGTTGGAATTTAAATCGATTTGATTGGCTACTTCAGATGAGCTCAAAATTATGAGCCAATCAAAACCTTCTCAATGAAATTCAACAACCAATCAGATCGATTGCGGATCGGTTTGGTCGGCGCGATTCGATTGCACCCCCGCCTCCCCAAATTTGTACTATCAAATCGACAATACTAGTAGTTTACATATTGTCTAATCGATTCGAAACTGGAGCAGCCCCCAGCAGAAGAATCAAAACGAGAAAGGATTCAAGAACTTAAAAAGCCAATCAAATCACGTCCGGTGAAGTTTCTGCCAATCAAATCACGTCCTGTGAAGTTTCTGCCAATCAAACAAACGCTTGATTCGGCCCAGGCCCTCCGAATTGATTGCAAAACCAGATATATACTAATCGTTGTATAGTATAGTTTGTGCAAGTTTAAATTAGATCAATTGGATTCGCATGGTGACTCACAAGTCCAAATTTGGGTTTGAAATGCACAATATGGCAAGTACAACTGAAAGCGTCATATTCACACATCGGGTAGGATAAAAAAATTAAACTGGAAGACAAACTAGGAGATAGATATATATATAGTACCACCACGATGCAGATAGAATGAACTGAAATAGAATTATATTTATGTGTACAACAAACAAACAGGTAATATGATATACTGTAAAGTACAGAATAATGATGAAGATTTAATTAACTAATAATAATTATAGATTATCCTTGCACAATATAATGAAAGGGTCATACATCGTATGATATAATATTAATTTACTATAAACAAAAGGAGATAGATAGATTTATAGACAACAACGATGAAAAAATAATTAACTAAAATGGATTATATAGATATGTACAATACAAGAGAAGGGGTTATATGGGGTATGATAAAATAATATTAACTGTAAACAAGCAGGAGATAACATAATTATATCAGCTACGATTCACAAATAGCTAAACTATATAGATATGCCCAAGGCAACGAAAGGTGTCTACATATCGGGTAATATAGCAACTAATACAACCATGATATTATAGATATAGTATATAAATACTAATAGAACAATTTCATACATAGGTTCCACGCACATATAATGTAGATCGTGGACGGGTGCAGTAAATGCATATATATGTAGAGTTATATATGATAGTACCTTGTATCGTACCCCAGTGCATTGGATTTGCCCTGGGACAAACCAGCGGCTATGATGCCTCCGCTGCAAACACAAGCGGATTGTGCGTAAGTTCGTTGTTGGGACAAAGCAAAGTTTGGGGCAAAAGCTAGAGGTGGTACCTGTGAATCATCGGCCCTTCCTTTCCCACGGGTAGGCCACCCGCGACCGAGCAGATGGTGCCGATCAGTTTGCAGCAAAGCGTGCGGAAGCGGAGCATGCGCGGGATCTTCATGCCGTTGAGCATGGACTTGATCTCGGAAATGCCTGTCGCATGGAACGATCAGAGGATGACGGGGGTAGGAAGGATGGCGGCCGACTTGGAGAGGCCTTTGGAAGAAGAGGATGGTACCTGATCCAGCTGCCACGGGCTCGACAAAGATGGTCAAGATCGCCGCAATCGAGACAAGGCCGACGTTGATCCCGAGGAGAACGCCATACACGAGTGGACGGGAGTCGTTCTCTTCATGGATGTGCAAGGAAGATGACGGGGTGTTGATGTAATGCTCCATGACCTGTCGCTTCAGGATCGAGATGTGTTGCGTGCAGAACAGCAAGACGATGCCCGCCAACGCGGTCAAGAACCCCGTAAACCACGTGAGCACCCATCTAAAGAAGACGGAGAAGCGTCGTTCTCGACCGTCGCGGTACTTGTAGCTCAAACCTAGATGCGCGTCAATCAAGTCCCTCTCTATGCGGTTCCATCGCGAAGCATTGTTTCGCCCACACCTTACCTGACTTGTTGACGACACTCTCAAACAGATCTACATACAGGATCCTCGTGACCACATGCTCTCCTCCATCGATTCCTAGCATGAAGAGACACAGTACCATAGTCCAAGCTCTCAATGTCCCTTGCCCGTCGTCGCATTCTCGTTGCCGCGAAGGATCTTGGTCGACTCGACGGTGGGTACTTTCGAATCAATTGCAGCCATAACTGAAACGTTAGCTCGGTAACTCCACCAATCAGAATTCACCGCGGATGAGAAGGAGCCAATCAGAATTAGGATGCGCTTGACGTAGCACTTTCCATTCTCGACAAATATGGCAAGGGTCGAGATGCCTTGAAGCGAGGGTCCGCAACGGCACAGTCGCCACGAGAAGTGTACAAGCGATGGGAGGAAGGTCTTAGATGAAGATGAGATCCCGCCCGACCGGCTGCATGCATGCACGACGAGCTCGGTGAAGCTAGACCAATCAGACAGGAAAACGATGCTGGCTGGCTACCTTCGCTCGCCCCTTGGGTTGCAAAAGTGTAGATGCTCCTGCTGCTTTTCATCTTGGTTAAGCACATACTAAAGGAATCAGCGTTGGGATGCAACAGACCTAAATTGCCAATGAATTGGCTCGATCGTTGTTGACCGTTTCATCCTGAACAGTCGCACCAAGCAACCACTTCCTGACCAAATTATAGCTCTACACCTGCACGGTTCCCATGATGGATGGCATTTTGACGGACGAGGAGATCGCCACGCTAGCAAACGACACGACGCCGGCACAACCTCCACGACCTGTGAAGATCGCCATGCAGCTCATCCGCAAGTGCATGAGTATGCCACATGCCGCCGCTCCTCCTTCGACCGATAACGGTCACGACGACGACGACGATGCAGAGTACGTCAGTCAAGACATCCCAGCGCTTCATGTCGTGGGGAGCCACATCCGCCCGACTGAATCGCGGGTTTCCTGTCGTAGGGTCGCGTCGATGCTAACTAAACCCGTGTTGCGGTTGGACTGGCAGGGCATCGCCAAGATCGAGCACCTCGACGTGTTTTGCCACGTTCGAGACCTGTACCTCCAGCATGTATGTATGGCCTCATATGGCCAAAGCTATCACATGAACAGAGCCATGACCATACTATTGTACATGTATATATATATATGGGGAGCAGAATGCTATCCACCGGCTGGAAAACCTCGACTTTCACAGCAACTTGGAGTTTTTAGCGCTTTCGCACAACCATATCACGGTGGTACGTCGTCATCGACTGAATCTACTAACGTGACATAGTACTAGTATATTATTTCATGTGCATTTGCGTAGGTGGAGAACATTTCGCATTTGACCAAGGTATGAATGCTGTACCAGATACGTTAGCTCATGCATGTTTGTGTACTTGACATGTACTGAGTCCCTACTAATACCATATTCGTAGCTCAAGTTTCTCGACTTGTCGCACAATCGCATTGCCCACTTGGATGTTTGTACGTCGCGAACGGCAAAGTGTCGTTCGATCAACTACTCGTGATTTCTACCAAAGCCAACTAACTACTAGTCGTGCTTTGTACGGAAACCAACTAATAATTCGGGTGCTGTGTGTACGTACAGCTGCGTTGCCGTCGTCGCTTGTGGTGCTACGACTTGCTGGGAACCCCTGGGCGGAATCGAACGATGGGTACTACTTGACGTTGTTCAAAGTGTTGCCGCGCCTGCAAGTAAGTCGCCCTTGCATGCCAGTTCTGTCGGAGAGTAGTCCCGATGACGGCGAGGACGATGTACCTTTAACGATCATTTTGAGCAGACAGTGGACCAATACCGCCGGCAATCGAACGGTGCCGACAGTCCGACGTACCACGGCGACGCTGGTCGTCCAGACGCTGGCAGCCGTACGTTCAAATGATGACGTTTTCACGTACGGAAACGGGTATGTCATAGTGACGACGCCGTTGTTTACGACCCCCGATACGGCGTCGCGTGAAGCGATCAAAGAACAAAAGGAAGCCATGAGCGCGCGCCACGTGGACAAGATGAAGCAGCTGAATGCGAATCTCAACGACGTACTGCCACTAGTATTACTAGCCTATATACTAACGGCGTTGTTATTCGAATAGGAAAAGGACCAAATCGTCGAGCGGTCGACCCGTCGGATGCGGGAACGTCGGCAAAAGCTCCAACAGCAAACCAAGACCTTCATGGAGGAAGCCGCATCGCATGTTCAGGCGTTGCATGCCAAGCACGCGACCTGGCGTCGAGCGCAGCTGGAGGCGACGTCGCAAGCGTCGTAGTGAACGAAGACGTAAACAGTAATGACAAGGAAACGTAATGCATGTTATACTTGATACCCTCGTTTCTGCGCCCCAGCCAACTTGTCGACAATGTCGCCGATCACAGGGAGGTTCAGGACGGTGCCGATGATGGGCGTTTGCCGCAAGAACGCAACGGCCACGGGAAAAAACGAGCCGAAGAGGTTCAAGAAGCCAAATGACTGCACGACCATGCCGACCATCGGCCAGCGCACCATGACCAAGACGATCCCGCCTAGGAAGCACACGATACCGCGCCAACGTTCGACCCGGGTGAAGAATTTGATCGTCCGCGACAAGCCGATGGTGAGTGCCAGACCGGAGAGAAAGAGGACGTCGCCGATGGCGAGCAGCGCGGCATCGAAGAAGAGCATCACCCCCAAGAACAGGAAAGCGAAGCCTAGGCCTAGGAGCAGCGTCCCGATCTTGCGGTTGTCGTCGAAGTTCATCCTACCCGCGGCGACGTCGTGGAAGTAAATGTGCGATTGAAACCTCCATCATGCCAAACTTCAATTGGATTGGTTAAAATGATTTGAGTTTTGCTGGCAATACACAGATGTAGATTATTTAATACAATTTGCCGAATGATAGCAATATGCACCAATCAATGTTCTAGAATACAAATGGGTCATGAATTATTGCCAATCCAAAAGCACCACCTCACACATCATCACGAATAAAACTTTGAAAGACTTGTGATAAACCACCAACGTACCAACACTCAATCGCATAGAAGTAGTATTACTAGGAGTAATACATACTTCAAAGTACTAACGTTACGTAGAAACTTGATGAAATGCCATGTTCAGAGGTCAGAAATATCAACGGGCGAAAATAACGCAGTGCATTTAGACTTACCGTATTCAGGTGATTCATGTAATTCCCGGCCAGCTTGGCCTACTTTCTGTGTGCCATACAGTAATTCGTCACCCATTCATCCGATGAGGCTGCGAAAACATGCAATACATCGTGACGAGCTTATAACGTTATGCAGGTCCCATCATTTGTATCGCATGGTCAATTTGCTCGTCGAATTTCTAACCAGTCAATATTTGTACCACTAGCATAACCAGATAAAGAACCAAAACCATAATTATTTTATTTAAATAAAAAATAAAAATAAAAAACAAAATGCCTAATAAAATAAATAATGACAACGAACAGGTAGGCTTGGAAGCAGCCATCCTTTCAAAAAAACCGAAACCAGATAAAGAACCTAAACCAAAATAATAATTTACATTAATAGGTGTAGGATAATCAACTATATGATTATTTATTAAATATTATTCAGAAAATATTTCAGTAAATAGTGGCGAAACTTATACTGAAACTGGTGTAGGTCCTTCCATAGCATCAGGTAACCTATCTCGTTTTATTTTTAAAAAATATTATACGTGAAGGCATTCCTAATAAATCATACTTACCTCTAATTATCTGAAATTCGTTTTTTTTTTTATAGTTTAAAATATCAAAGAATAGAAAAACCTTTATTTAAAAAAAAAAATATTGGCCTATAGCTCAGTTGGTTAGAGTATAAGCCTGATAAGTTACACCTTCCCAACCTACAAACATTTGTATAAAGTTATCTCCTGTTGAGTTCAAAACTTTCTAGGTATATTTTTAGAGTATGGCCAAGTTGGTAAGTTAAAATACAATTTTTTAACTTTTTTTTAAAGAAGTTACGGCTAATTTCGTGCTGCTTGGGACCACCAGGAAACGTGTTGAATTCTTTATATTTGTAGGCAAAGTCGCCCAACGCGCTACGAGTAGCTTGTGAGCATGCATTGACTTGACGAAGTTCTTACCGAGTGGGCTGCAAGCCGCCTTTGACGGACGGAAACACTACGTCCGAGTCCACTTGCTCTACGTATCGATCCTACGCACGACAATGAGTGCATGTGTGATGTCGTGTCTGACTTTGTTTGGCTACTTGGTCAACCCAACTCATGACGTGGTTAAAATAACTTGACCACACAACCAGGGGCTATATTATTCCGACAGCTCTATCAATCAATGAAGATTGCGGCGGTGGTGGCGATTTTCTTGGTGTCATCATGCACCGAACCATCTTGTTTTGCAAACGGCCAGAGAAGCACGGACGAGCGCAGTCTACTCGACTTCGACCTCGTCGTAAGCTTTGTCTTGGCGTCGCTCGTGGCACTCGTCCATCGATACACCGCCGCGTCGTACGCTTCCAAGGCATGACTTGTGCATAAATCCCAAATAGGCGCAATACAGTGATTCGAAATGGGGAAATACTATGGTGCACATCATCTATAAACTACCAACTTTTCACAAAATTTTCTCACTTCTATTTCGTATTCATTACTCAAAATTTCAGCAAATTGAGACGTAGAATCGACAGATCTCAATGTGGTGAAGAAATTCTACGTCTCAGATTCAAATTTGGTGATAATTTGGACCAGAAATAGATATATAACCTAGCGGTATTTTACATGGGCGCTTGGATATTTGGCCATAGGGTGGCCGCTGAGATGTATCTTGATTTTTGTATGTGACTCTTATCCGTATATAATATCCGGCAGCAGTTGGGACCTTTAACCTCCCACTGCAGTGATAAAACGCATGAAATCGGTATTTAACGTATTTTGTTTTTGGGTTTAACTATATTAATTGTGCGTTAAATAATAAAACCTCCACTCCTCGATTTGGCCACTGGGAGACTTCCAAAACCGTCACAAACTTCTTTGAGTCGACGATTTTCATCCGGAATTATAATTCAATTCACCCGTAGTTCTTTGCTGAGACGCAAATAGAGTCTCAGCAAAGAAGTACGCAAGGCGACTCAAATTATAACTTACAAAATTTATACCGTACTATAAACAAATACAGTACCTTCATTGTGTTTGATGAAGTGGTGTGTTGACGGGGACTCGGACGCCGACGATGACCAAGCGCACGGATGGCACTCAAGGAGCGTCATTACTTGACCTCGCCATCCCTCATCGCAAACAAACGAACCTGTGGACAACCATGTACGCCGCCCGCGACCGAAGCACGTTCATCACGTCACGTGATGAACGGTGGCGTACATGCTTGATCCCGACACGTTTGACCTCTTGCTCGCCTTCTTAAGCA